AAGCTTCCCCTTCGAAAGTTTAGTTGCAACTGATCGTTTAGTTGTCGTTGTCCTATGTGTCATTAGCTATGTCACACGAATTTTGCATAATGATAAATAAATTAATATATGCAACTCAGATACCTGCAATGAAGCCTTTTCGTTGACATTTATTCTTTCAAGTTTCGAACGATATTCATTTTCCTAGGATAAATAAGTTGGCAATCATCTTTATGAAGCGTCATGGAACATCTAGAAAGATGACATGTGCATGGACTATGATTCATTAGAACACGCACCAACTTTGAAATTGTTCTTGATGCCAGTGATGATGATGGTGTTGCTGTTGGTATTGACTGCGATGACGACGACGACGATGGCGACGGCGACCGCGACGGCGTGTTTGGTGTTGCTGAGATTAGTGGCAGTGATGACAACGGTTGGGTCCCAGTTGATACTGATAACGCAGGGACTGTAGCTGATGACGGTGAGTATGATGATGCCACCCATAAAAGTGATGAATTTAAAATACGTCATCAAGAAAAGCCAAACTAATCATAATTTCCTGTACCCATATTCATTCGTGGCATATTCATTATTTTTTCATTTTTTTTCATGCGTTTTACAGATAATTCCTCATCTATATAGAAAATTAGGAATTAAACTGCCTGCCTGCTTGTTTTCTGATTTTTTTTAATGATTGGTTGATTTTTTTAATGATTGGTTGACTTTATATTAACTTGCTACTATTGAAAAAACCCTCGCATGTTCCAAACCTGCAGGGGTATAAAAAAAAATAAAAAGTGATCACCGACGTAAATTAGGATAACCTTCCAAGATTTAAAAAGCACCCACTTCTTGTACGAGCCATTCGCTCCAAAAGGAAACACCACTCCTCATGCCCTAGCAGGGCGATAACCAGTAGCAATAATGCAATTTGACAAATAATAAACACGTCTCAAGTCTATTTCAAATTGGTCAGTAAACACTTTAAACCTGTCATTGATCAATAACACCATTGCATTTGTACTTCTACTAACCGTTTTCTCTTCCCTTGCAAGTTTGCGTACACTTTATATCACTGCAAGTCTTAGAACATTCATCATCTTCACAATAGCAGGTGTTTCTTGTAGTAAAGTTCTGTTCACCCTCTGTTAAATCACACTTTGTAGCATTGCAAGTCTGGTTATAGGTACTATTCACGTGTTTGTCGTCAGTGCATTGTTGTACCAATGGATTGAAAGTCTTAGCACATTTTTTTCCACAAAATTCCTCTGAGAGCTCACAAGCACTAACAGTGCAGCTCATATTGCAATAATATGCAGAAAATGTACAAGTCTGTGTCCAGTTCTTTTTATCATATTCCAATTTGCAAGGTATTGCGATAGGCTTGTAGCAGTAACCTTGCGAAGTATTCTCTCCAATACCTGAACAACGCGCATAATGTTGTAAATGAGACACAAAGAAGTTATTAAGCACAAGAAAAAAACTACATAGTTAGGTGTAAAGCAGCAACATTTTGCAATAAAGAAAGTATTTTACCAGAGTTAATGGCTGCTTTTCGTGTTTTCTGAGCAATGCATGCTGTAGTCAGTATCTCACCTACTCAATACTATTTCATTCCGAAGCAGAAATCGACAGAAAGCTGGATTTTGATCGTCAGAAGCTCTATTTAGTCTCTGCTTGTTTTCTTACTTTTTGTAGTTTCACAAATGAAAGATCTATTTTTTTTTCCTCTACCAGGAACAAAGGTGCAGCTCTCTTTGTATAATTTAGCCACAGTTCTATTTCCAGCTGGATTATCTTTTTTCCAGTTACAAATGGTTAGTGGTCTTCCACTCACCCAGGTCCAACTACCAGCCCTTTTTTCCAAGCCAATATACCACGTCTTTGCACTCTGATTTTGAATCATGCCTTAGATAAAATCCCACTCCTCTTCAGTTTCAATGGAAACTAGGTCGCCTCTCTTTTCTTTACAAGCGTTTCTGGCATCTTTCCATGTTTTTTTCTCTTTCTTAAACTCGTAGCAAGAATCTTTAGAACAGTCACTGTGGCATTCTGTGAAAAATGGAAATTAAAACAAAAACAAATTTGTCGACGTATTGCGAATGAAAACAAGTCAGATAAATATGCAACAAACAAAAGTTCTCCAAAACTTGTATTTACATTTCTAGGTTCTGCTGTTAGTAGGATGATAGGAAACGACTTTTGCGCATAATATGAAACCTAAAACATTCTTTGTTTTCGTTGTCCTCGATTTTTGTTGTTTTTGTTTGTTTATTTCTGTCTTGGTTTGCTTTGGATTTGTTTGTCTGTTTGTTTGTTTTCATTTTGGTGATTTTAACTTATATACGGTAGTTTGTGTATCTGAAAGATCACTGTTTTTCCATTATCTTTCTTGCTTTTTTGCCAACCCACCTATATCAGACCAATTGCATCCATACGTAAGATTGTTGAGCAATTTCTCGGGTGTCCGATTTTGTTGCTTCTTTGTTTTGGTTTTCTGTCAAGTCTGCTGGGAAATGTTTCAAATCAACTAACTTAGGAGTTTCACAGTCTTACCTGCTACTTTCAAGTTCACCATCACGAGAACTAGAAGAGAGAATATCAAGAGATACATTTACTATCTTGTAAATGTAGCAATATTCCTTTTAATGTGGTAATGTAAATTTGGTACTAATCTCGGATGAAAAGGTTACCAGTTTGACCAATCGCTGTGGTAGTTGTTGAAACTCTATTTCAGAGAGGTTAACTGAGATATTTGAGTCCATATGACTCCTGGGAACGATAGAGAACAATGAAAACTCGAAATTTTTTCCCTATATGGGTTGGGATTTTTTTTTTCTGGAAGGATGGAAGGAAGTTTGCAGAAATTGACAGAACAATTTAGAACATTGAACTACGGCATCACTTATATAATAAGCTGTGCTAGAAACTTCTCCTTATTCCGGAACATATTATGCTGAGTTCTTTTAAGGATCTGTCATCATGAGCGTCTAGAATGTTCTTTGTGCTAAAAACAGTGTTTTAGAAATAGGTATGACGTAAACGACTACCATAAATAAGGTTCGAGATCGTAATTATTAGTGTGGTTTTCAGAATTTTAAGTGTAAAGTTAGGTCGCAGACCATTAAATTGTTTTGGGTGGAAAACAGGAATCTTCTCTCGGCTTCGTGACAAAGGAGGTGGTGTTAGTTCAGAGAACACTTCGTAAAAAATCTACAAACCGATTTCATAAAGTGCCTTCTGTCTTGCCTTCTGTTGGCCGTAGTCGACGAGATCTTTTCATTATGAATAACAATTTAAAACCCAAAAACTGCGTAACTATGGTTAATTTTTCCCAACCAATTTTGCATCCTATAGAAATTGGAAAAAGGTAACACACTTTTCCTCCTTTAGTTTTATTCATTTATTAATTTAACCATTCATTCACTTTTCAATGATAAGACTTAAGAGTAGGAGTTTCTCTCCTTGTTTTATCAATAAGTTAGAAAGGGCCCGTTTAATTATCGCTTTATCTGGTTTACTTTGGCGAAGGCCTGGTTGTAGGATATTCTAATACCAAGATATCTTTACCTCATCATCCACTATTTGCCTCTAAAACCTGACCAAGATACAAAGCAAAGTTCGTACTTACTCAGCACGCAACGTACAGACGTGGCTGTGAACATTTTACCAAATTCATTCTCACTCATCACGCAATTCATCTGGCTTAGGATAAACGTAAGTTACCGACGGTTATTGACTTGGTCACAACGCTTATGTGGCAATTTCTTCAACGAGTTTCAAAGTCCTTTGCAGGAGGTACAAGTTAGTGGACGTAACACTCAATCTCTTTTTTCTGACGTGAGTGTATTTTAACTGTATTTTTCCGTCATAAACGAACAATGAGACTGTTTTCACCAGGTGCAGAATGCTGTTTTACGCAATAACGACTGGAAAAAAACACGATATGAAAAAAGCTTGCCATAACACTGCAGATTATTATGAGTCAATAAAATAAGCTTTTATTTTTTCTTAAAAACTAATTCCTGAACCTGGCTTAAAACACTATTTGCCTAAGGAATTAGCAGGGTCTCAATAGGGTTAGCCCGCCGTTGGCTGTGAAATGGCAACAACAAATTAGCCGTCAGGCGTAAAAAATTGACTTATTTTGGCCATAAGTCGAATAACAATATTTCACTTAAAAGATTTTTCTTTGAAACGGGACGGAAAGAAATCAGTCAAATGTATGCTGTATCTAAAATAGCCAAATTTCAACAGTTAGTAGCAAAAGTCATCAAACCGTTAAGACTCGCAAGAAGTATCTTGCTCACCGGTAGTTAATGCGAGTTTCCCATCTGTTCATCTGCACGAATGGAAATAATTACCATCTTTCGATCATAAAGATGAAGCTAGTCGTTGAAACTGACTTATCATTAACTTTGCCGGATGGATCGATTCGGTAAAATGTTTATGCAAGTATGCATAAAATACTCCCATATAATTCCCCAAGTCAGAAAACATTTTTCCCGTTTTTGTTAGATAACTCGATTTGCATTTGAAAGAGATTAAACGTCAAACGCAACAGCTTCTTTTAATTACAAAGTGCGACAAGTCTCAACCCAAAGCGCGACGATAATTAAAAAGGGTGACAGAACTTTCAGGCGTTTTATCAATGAACTATTTTTTGGCTTCGGTGATACAATACAGAAAATTCGAGAATATGAAATTGTTTTGTAAGTTTGTGTCCCAATCCCTTTTCCTGGGGAAAAAAAAGGAAGGCTTTTTTCGGTAAGAGTCGAGTAGCGTTCTTAACAGGAGCGGCACTATTTCATTGCCACAGGAAGGAGCTGTACGTCTAGAAAGTGTTTTAAAACGTTATTTTAAATCAGTCGAATTAAAGTCATGGAAATAGTAGCTTAATGCAGTGAAACGGCTGACGCGTTATCGAACGAGGAATTTTGTTTTGCTCGGAGGAAACCATATTTGCAATTCCCAGTTGACATGTTGTCATAGTAACCTCGACAAACTTACATGGCTGGTAACTAAGCGGTTGTGCTTCAAGAACCTTTTATGGCATTAATAATGAAAGATGTTATTTAATTCAAGACACAACTATCAGGAATAACAAAGACCAGTTCGTTTTCAAAACCGAATAATTGTCTCATTGCCGCTAATTATTTTCAAATCGCTTCGCATCGTATCGAATCTAGAATACCTTCATAAAGTACTTTGAAATATATATCTTCCGTTATTTGCATATATCTGTTTACTTATTCATTTCGTTCTCTATTAATTGTTTAATTGTTTAGAGGTTTTTCGAGTTCAATTCCCGTTGTAATTAAAAACCTGAATAAAAGTTATTAAAACGTCTCTCAGCCAAAACAGTGCGAGGATTCGAAAGGGATTCACATCCAAATTAGACGAAATCTTGCTCATACTTACTTCCCCAATTTCTTTAGTTTTGTATATGAGCACGATCCTTCGCAGTAAAGCACTATTTGAGCAATAGTGAAAATCAGACCTGAAAAAAATTTCAGGCCTGTACGGGATTCGAACCACTGACCTCTGCGATACTAGTGCAGCGCTCTACCAATTGAGCTAACAAGCCAACTGGGAGCAGGCCATCAAATTAATTCGACATAAACCCGTAGATGATAAATCAAACAACAACAAACATATGAAACATATGTGTGAACTGCGGTTATGAGACGTATATGAGCACGATCCTTCGCAGTAAAGCACTATTTGAGCAATAGTGAAAATCAGACCTGAAAAAAATTTCAGGCCTGTACGGGATTCGAACCACTGACCTCTGCGATACTAGTGCAGCGCTCTACCAATTGAGCTAACAAGCCAACTGGGAGCAGGCCATCAAATTAATTCGACATAAACCCGTAGATGATAAATCAAACAACAACAAACATATGAAACATATGTGTGAACTGCGGTTATGAGACGTATATGAGCACGATCCTTCGCAGTAAAGCACTATTTGAGCAATAGTGAAAATCAGACCTGAAAAAAATTTCAGGCCTGTACGGGATTCGAACCACTGACCTCTGCGATACTAGTGCAGCGCTCTACCAATTGAGCTAACAAGCCAACTGGGAGCAGGCCATCAAATTAATTCGATATAAACCCGTAGATGATAAATCAAACAACAACAAACATATGAAACATATGTGTGAACTGCGGTTATGAGACGTATATGAGCACGATCCTTCGCAGTAAAGCACTATTTGAGCAATAGTGAAAATCAGACCTGAAAAAAATTTCAGGCCTGTACGGGATTCGAACCACTGACCTCTGCGATACTAGTGCAGCGCTCTACCAATTGAGCTAACAAGCCAACTGGGAGCAGGCCATCAAATTAATTCGACATAAACCCGTAGATGATAAATCAAACAACAACAAACATATGAAACATATGTGTGAACTGCGGTTATGAGACGTATATGAGCACGATCCTTCGCAGTAAAGCACTATTTGAGCAATAGTGAAAATCAGACCTGAAAAAAATTTCAGGCCTGTACGGGATTCGAACCACTGACCTCTGCGATACTAGTGCAGCGCTCTACCAATTGAGCTAACAAGCCAACTGGGAGCAGGCCATCAAATTAATTCGA